GTCTCTAGCACCCCAGCCCCTCCTTTCCCCAACCCTCTGCCCCCCTGCTCCTGCCCCTCTACTCCACTGCCCCCCATCCCTCCTCCCAGATCCGGCCTATTTGTTTTTTTGATTCTCTCTCTCTCTCTCTCCATATATATATACAATTTCCTGTGGGATGACAGTGACGTCATCTGTGTCCTCATGCCACCGCCGCCCACCTCTGCCTCTGTCCTCAGCCACTTTCTGTGGCCAGCCTCAGCACCTGGCTCCCACTTCATGCCCCAAGGAGCTGTACTGCCAGGGAGGAGCTTCTGGGGCTGGGTCCCCTCTGCCATCCAAGCCTGACCCCTCCCCTCCAAGCTGCGCTGGGTCACCTGTGAGCCCAACTCTCACTCTGGGCTGCACTGGGCTGGGTCCCCTCTGCCATCCAAGCCTGGTCCCCACTCCCCAGGCTGCCATGGGTCCCCTCCACTATCCAAGCCTGACAACACCACAACAGGGCTGCCCCGCATCCAAGCCCAACCCCCGCCATCCCCTTCTAAGACCTTGCACCGTCCACCTGCCCCTGCCCCTCCGCCCTGGCCAGACACCTACCCCAAGAGAGGGAGGGGGTGGAGAGCATAGCGAGCAAGGGGCACAGCCCCCTAATTTTTTTTTAACTTTTCATTTTATAGACTAGCAGAGTCCAGCTCCTAATCTCAATACATTTAAAGGTGGCTCAAGTCTGGGATTCTGGCTTGATTCTTTACAGATGGGCCAAGGTGAAAAGTTTGAACTTTGAACTCAAGCCTCCCGGATTTAGTGGGTTTTGGCCATGAGCTTCCACCATTGAAGTAAATGGGAGCAGGATCAAGCCCTTAGATCTGGGGGGTTGGTTTGACCTCAACATTCTAATAAAATGAGTTGAACTAACTAAATGAAGCTGCATGAATGTTTATTACTAATAGATTTCTTAGCACTGCCCTTCCCAAGGGAACAGATCATTCCTGTGGCAATATGGTTAAACATAACACCTCCTCACGGGCACATCTGCTGGCAGTGCAGTACCAACCATTCTGCATGCTCTCACTACAGCCAGGAGACACTGCGAGCGCCGCATGGCATTTTAGAAAGGGGGGCATGATGAATCTGCAGAGAAGGGATTGAAATAAAGACTTGCTAGTTTTGTAGCCTGTGGTGATTGAGCAATAAGAGGGTCCAGTCACTGGGCCTGGTAGCTGCCTTTGAGTGATAGTGTAAGGCATGGCATTCAGCCCTGCCCACAAAGCCGTGGTGTTTAATCTCCTTGCTGGCTGGAGAAGCAAGCCTGGCACTGGAGCGCCATTCACAATGGGTACCTTTGTTCTCAGATTAATAATGCCCTGTCTCTTTGTTTTGAGAATGGCTCTAACAAACAATGTAGATCTCCAAAGGCAGCGTGACATCTCACAGAAACCTTTGCAGAACATTCAGTGTGGAATCCATTATTTTGTGCTTGTGGCATAACGGATCATCTTAAAAAGCCTGTTCTCCCAGACCGTTCCTTTTCTTTCGCTACAGATCCAATACAACTTTGTTTATTCCAGCTTTTATATGATCCTGTTGCTTCTGTCCTATCTGGATTAATAACCCCATATTTGAGCCATCAAACATAAGCTGCAGGAACAGCTAACAAAGTAAGGAGTAATGCAGACAAATCCTGTCCCCACTAAAGTCAATGGGGCCACTCTTATTTTGTTACCCTAAAAACACATAAGTAGCATAGTTTCTGTTATCCTTGGAGTACACAACCTGAAAACACATAATTCTGGACCAAATCCTGCAGTGCCTAAGTAGTTCCTTGATTTCTCTGTGGACCTCGTTTGTTTTATATTGCACCCTAGCATTTCTAGGGAGCTGGTTATCTGCAGGGGCGATTGCTACATTGTGAGGCATTTTGTTCATGTTGGAGGGAGACAGGAAGACACAGGTATGCACGCACATTGCTCTTATTCAGAAACTTTTTTTTGTTCGGTGTTTCCCCTTAATCTAAAGTAAGCCATTCCTCCTGAAAGTATATGGTTGTTTCTTGAGTAAGGGCTGTAAGACTGGTCTTGGTCTTGCTAAACAGAACACTTCTTAGTCTTCAGGGAGGCATCAGGATCTCTTAATAATAACCAAGCTCTACATTGTAGAGCTGCTTCCTTTCAAGGCTCTGAAATCATTTTGCAAATATGAATGAATTCATCCTCACAACACCTCAGTGATGTAGGTTAGTTTTAAGGTATCTATTGTATAGCTGGAAACTGAGTCACACAGCGGTTAGGAGATCTGCCCAGTGCAACACACTGAATCAGTGGCAAAGCAGGAAACAGAGTGCAGTGCCTCTCCTTGCCAGTCCTTTGCTCTAACCATTATACACCATTCCCTCCTAAAGCCAGGAAGAGAACCTAAGTGTCCTGGTATAATCACTAGACCATGGTCTATCAATATACCAGCCAAATCCATGTTTGGATGCTCACATTTTTGCATAGGTGTATAAAATAATTATAATCCTAAATGTTGGAATGGAGAAGAGCTGCCAAAGTATCCAGCCCTTCTCTCTGGGGACAGTGTAGGACTGTCCGTTACAGGACAGATGCTTGTATTTTGTCCTGTCTACTTTTAAAGGTGCCTTGCAGTGGTGCCTCCATCCTTTCTTATGGGATATGGCCCTTCCTGTGTTCCCCTTCTGTCCTGTCATTCTTCTACATTTTTGGTGTCCCTCCCCATCAAACATGTGCACATGGCAATGTTCCTCCTCTGTCCTATCAGCCAAGCTCTCTATCCCTGTTTCACATGCCTGTGCGCTGAACTGAAAGTCTAGTGGGGGATTTTAGATGACCTGGTAGGGTTTCTAGGGTATCTTGTTTCCCTAGCATATGTACACACACAGTATAGGTACTGTGAGAGGTAAGGTGAGAAGGGAGAGCGTGTTAATAGCGCACGAATCTGCCTAACTCATGACCTTTGGCCAGAAGGCTTTTTCTAGCCTCTTGGCTAAATCTGTGATTCCAGGCTCTCTGCCAAATGGGCAGATGTTGAGTCTCCCTGCCTTGTCCCCTGATTAGTCAGTCAGCACCTTTCACTCCCTCCACCCACCTCCAATAAGATCTCAAAGGGAGATAAGGAAGGAACTTTGAGTTGGGTGCGGGACCAGCTGGTAGGGGAAAGGGAAGAGCAGAAGTGGCTGTGGACAAGCATCTGGCTTGGGGGAGTGGGAGATAAGGGCAAGGGAGCAGGGGACGAGTGGAATGGAGGACTGGAAGACTAACACACTGGTGTGGGGACTGGGGTATAAAGGCCTTTTCTCCTCTGGGTATCTTATGCTACCTTAATGTATCAATCATCTGACATTGTCTCCAGCCTGCAGCCAAGGTAGGTAGCAGATCTCATGCTAGAAGAACAATAATGGGCCCTGCTGGTCTGACCCATGGCTATTGGTGCTGAAGTTTGTCATTTCATTGGGTGGTTGGTTGGCTTCTCCACTGATGCACCTTCCCTCTGGTTAGCTGGCATCCACTGAGCCCATTTAGGAAGGGTCTTCAGTGTCCTGCACCTTGTATAATTGTCACCATTATGCAAAATGGATGTAAAATGCTAACACTGCAACAGTCACTCTGTGCTACAGTGAGTGATTGTGCAAGGCACAAGGCAGCAGTGCATTACCCTCGCTTTCTCAACTAAGTTGTTGTTTTGAAGGTATTGCCTTTTTCAGATTATGTTGCTTTTTCTTTCACTGAAATATGTCCTGCCCTTTTATTTCTTGATTATACTTTTTTGAACGTAAGATTTTTCCTTGTAATGTATTTTGGTGTGTTGTTTAGTTATTGCATGACGAATCAGTGTTTACTATATACAAAGAGCATACTTTCAGGCTGTGTTACTTGCTTTTTTGAATAAGGAAAAGAACAGAAGAAAGAACAAACATAAAGTCTCTGGAAACAGTTACTCTGTAACTGCCATTGGCCTTGAACTCTCAGCTTTCCCCCCTAACCAACAGAGGTTGTAACTCCTTTCATTTTAGGATGTGATGCACTGAAAACAGACACATCTCCTGAATGGGATGCTGGGGAGTAGAAAATCCTTTAGAAACAGTGCATTGTTACCAACCTAAAGTTATTTTCAGAGTGAGTGAGGATAATTATAGGTTTCCATTTGTTAAAGTGTACTCTCTGCCCTACAAGGGAGTAAATACTTTTAAGGACAATGTAATGTGAGTGACTTGCAGCCATTTCTGATTGGATAATGTGTGTGTGTAGTCATTCTTCACTAGGAGTGAATGCGTGCTCTAGTGTTTAGATCAGGTATCTGGAGTCAATTCCCTGGCATTCTAGTTCCATCTCTGCCACAAACTTGACAGGTGATTTTGAGCAAGTAGACCAATCTCTCTCTCTCTCTTTCTTTCAGCTTTTCTGTCCATATAACAATTCTTACCCACTTTTGAAAAGTGCTCTGACAGCTTTGAATGAAAGGCTGTGTGGAAGAGTAATATCTTGTTGTTAATGAGGCATGTAGGAAACTGTTTCATATCCTGATGGTTATCAGTCAGGCCTTAAACAATGAGAACACAACTCCCCCCTCTCCTGCTTCAAACACCATCCCATTCAGGTTTTTTCAAGAGTCTGTTCATTGGTATTGCCTGTGAGGCTGGAGCTTGTCTCTTTAAGAAAAGTGTAGCCCAGTAGCAGAGGAAGGCCCTGCCTCCCAGAGCTTGTAGCACTCTACTTGGGCTGTGGAAGGGGAAACAGTTCTTGATCTTCATCGGAATACAATACACACACACATAGGCAGCCACCCCAACTCCAGCTCCCACAGTAACATCTAGCGTGGAGATCAGCACTCCAGCCTGGCTCCCTGACACAGGATGGACGTTCCTGAGCACTGAGCTCAGCTGCTGTAAAAAGCAAGTAGGAAAACATACAGCTGGATAAAATTGGTAAGTCAAACTAAAGTCACATCCTCCTCTTTGGAATGCAGCTTTCTAGTCTCTTTATTTTTAATATTCTTTGCAGACAGGGTTTTTTTAATATTGTCTTCTGAACAGAGCAACTGGGAAAACATGAGGAGAAAATAAAAGTAGATCTCTAGCATGTGTCAGCATTTGTGCTCCTATTTTAAAATCCCTTTTCCACATTAACACTTGGCTGTAGGAGCTGAAAAGGGAAAGCCAGCAAGTGCTTCTGTGTGGGGGGAGGACACTGGTAAAAGTGCTAATTGGCTTTTGTAGTGAGGATGAATCAAGAAGGAGATCTAAAAGAATAAAAAATCAAGTAGTTTGAAGTAAAGTGACTTGTCATTTACTTTAAAGAGGTAAAACATTTCATGGTTACCAATTTTTTACAAAATTTCTGTTGACTGTGTGTAGTACTGATGGATTTTTTTTAATGTTATTGACTGCAGTCAGATTTCAAATTACTTTTAGGCAACTAGTGAATAGTTCATTTGTTTCGGATAAAATGTATTGGTAGATCTGAGAGAGTAGGCAGATGCATAAAATGCCTTTTTCTCAGTGGCAGACAGAGGGCACTGGTGTTGCATATGGTAGTAATTCATAGTAAACTGGTGAAAGAATTTGGTGGAACTCATTTATGAATAATTTAATGGTATAAACTGGTAAAAAAAAGATACATTGGAGCAGCAATCTCTCCAGTGTACTATCCAACATAGGTGCATCCATTCAGTGGCTTAATTTTTGCACTTCAGGGGATGAAAGTTAGGTTAATTATTTGAATTATTATAAGACTAAAACTTCTGTTAAGCAAGTCAGAGACTACTTATAAAAATAGATTCTAGACTCCTGGCTGAAAGGAGTTAAATATTTAATCGATATTTAATCGATATTTTCTTGTTTTTCTTTTTTGGCATTTTACTCTGACACACCTTTTTAAGGACTACAAAGAAATAGTGCTATACAACCACTAAACATGCAAAATGTTTGTTGCTAGTAGTGCTCTGTTGTGTGTTGTGCTGTACATTTAGAGTAAGTCTGGATTAGAATTTGGGTGATGCCAAATCTGAAAGGTTTGTTAGCATCTGCAAATGCTTTTTTTCAAGGTCTAATTCAATGTTGACCAAGTTTCAGGTAGGAAGTAGATCACCGAGTCTGGAACCGGTTTGTTTCAAACATGGTCCAGTGATTAGTGCAGGGGATGGAAACGTAGTTTTGTGAAATTTTACTCTTATGAATGAACGAAATATTGTCAAGTGGTTAGGACTGGGAAAGGTAAAAGGAAGGAGGTTCAGAGTAGGGATGTTAAATATCAATTAATTGACTAGTCATAGAATCATAGAACTGGAAGAGACCTCAGAAGGTCACCAAGTCCAGCCCCCTGCCCAAGGCAGGACCAATCCCAACTAAATCAACCTAGCCAGGGCTTTGTCAAGCCGAGACTTAAAAACCTCTAGGGATGGAGATTCCACCACCTCCTTAGGTAACCCATTCCAGTGCTTCACCACCCTCCTAGGGAAATAGTTTTTCCTAATATCCAACCTAGACCTCCCCCACTGTAACTTGAGACCATTGCTCCTTGTTCTGTCATCCATCACTACTGTGAACAGTCTCTCTCTTTGAAACACCCCTTCAGGAAGTTGAAGGCTGCTATCAGATCCCCCCTCACTCTTTTCTTCTGCAGACTAAACAAACCCAAATCCCTCAGTCTCTCCTCATAGGTCATGTGCTCCAGCCCCCTAATCTTTTTGGTTGCCCTCTGCTGGACCCTTTCCAACCCCACATCCTTTCTATAGTGGGGGGCCCAGAACTGGACACAACATTCTAGATGTGGCCTCACCAGAGCCAAATAAAGGGGAATAATCACTTCTCTGGATCTGCTGGCAATGTTCCTCCTAATGTACCCCAATACGCCATTAGCCTTCTTGGCTACAAGGGCACACTGTTGACTCATATCCAGCTTCTCATCCACTGTAATCCCCAGGTCCTTTTCTGCAGAACTGCTACTTAGCCATTCAGTCCCCAGCCTGTAACAATGCTTGGGATTCTTCCGTCCCAAGTGCAGGACTCTACACTCGTCCTTGTTGAACCTCATCAGATTTCTTTTGGCCCAGTCCTCTCATCTGTTCAGGTCACTCTGGACCTTATCCCTACCCTCCAGCATATCTACCTCTCCCCCTAGTTTAATATCATCTGCAAACTTGCTGAGGGTGCAATCCACCCCTCATCCAGGTCATTAATAAAAATGTTGAACAAAACTGGTCCAAGAAGAGATCTTTGGGGCACTCTGCTAGAAACCGACCACCAACCTGACATGGAGCTGTTCATCACTACCCATTGGGCCCCGACAGACTAGTCAGCTTTCTATCCATATTACAGTCCATTTATCCAAACCATATTCTCTTAACTTGCTGGCAAGAATATTGTGGTAGACCGCATCAAAAGCTTTGCTAAAGTCAAGGTATATCACATCCACCGACTTTCCCATATCTACACAGCCAGTTACCTCATCATAGAAGCTAATCAGATTGGTCAGGCACGACTTGCCTTTCATGAATCCATGTTGACTATTCCTGATTATTTTTCCCTCTTCCAAGTGCTTCAAAATGGATTAGTTGAAGATCCCCTCCATGATTTTTTCCAAAGACTGAAATAAGACTGACTGGTCTGTATTTCCCTGGATTGTTCTTCTTCTCTTTTTAAAAGATGGGCACTACATTTGCCTTTTTCCAATCTTCCCGGCTCTCTCCTGATCTCCACAAGTTTTCAAAGATAATGGCCAAAGGCTCTGCAATGACACTTGCCAACCCCCTCAGTACCCTCACATGCATTAAATCCGGACCCATGGATTTGTGTATGTTTAGCTTTTCTAAATTGTTCCTAACTTGTTCTTTCCCCACCAAGGGCTATCCATCTCCTCCCCATACTGTGTTGCCTAGTGCATTAGTCCAGGAGCTGACCTTGTCCGTGAAGACAGAGTAACCTCATGAATTCATATTGGTTAGTTGACTAATCTGTAGTTCCAGGGGCGGGGCCACCAGCCAGCTCTCTTGGGCCCCACTCCCCAGTAGCCCCCTACCACTCTGTGCTGCTGCCTCTGTGCCTTTGTCAGGGGGGGTATGTCTACACTGCCACCCTAGTTTGAACTAGGGTGGCTAATGTAGGCATTCGAAGTTGCAAATGAAGCCCGGGATATTTAAATCCC